CTTTTGACCCACCCGTGTGGGACACTAGACATTAGACACCTTCAGTACAGTCAAGTCAGTGATACCATCATTCCCAAGAGATTTGCAGATTATTTCCAAGTCAAATTAGTGATCAGTGACAATATGTAAAGGCTACAACATGAAACTACTTCTCTAGTAAGCACCTATCCGTCCTTTCTGGCATTTATTTTATTAGAATAACAATATGCATATTTAAGAGCCAAACTAGAAATGACTTGGGAAATCTGTGATGAGGATCTTTTAAATAATAATAATAGTAATAGTAATAGTAATAGTAATATTAATAAGAAGAAGAAGAAGAAGAAGAAGAAGAAGAAGAAGAAGAAGAAGAAGAAGAAGAAGCAGCAGCCATTCTGGAAGAAGGTTTTCATCCTTTTCTCTTATTTACTTTCTACAGTATTAACCCATCCTAGCTGCTATTAGCTGCGAAGGAGAGAAAATACAAGGACAGCATCTGAACCTGGATTTTCTGTTTCCTAATAACAGCTTTAATCGGCTGAGGATTTGCATCCCAGAAAGGACCTGGGAAGAAAAGGCTAAGCACTCTTTCAGAGTGCTACTTCCCTCATTGTCAAAGCAGTTTTGCAGGGATGCTAATTCACAAACAATATAGTAGATCCTAATTAGATTCTCTCCCCCCACATACACCTATTTTGGCCCTGGCCGTGCCCAGATAGCAAAAATTGTATGGTTTAAAAAGTCAGATTTTTACAGCCAACTCCCCCTCCACGCCCACCACAACTACCACTAAGACATGGCCACAATCATTTGCTATTTCAAAGGGGGGAAAGTGGGAAAAGGAGAGCTATGGATGCATATTTTAAAAAATAGTTCCTAGACAGAATTGAAATGAACACGTTCAAAATGCAATTCACTTAAAAACGCCACCCTGTTCTATGGAGAGATCCGGTTTAAATAAAAGTCGTTCTCCCATGGTTAGTTCTGCACACACTGCAGTAATCACACCAAATTTCACTCAATCCACTTACCAATATCACAGAGCTTGAATGAGGGATACAAAGAAGGAAGGCTCTTAAGGAAACCCACAAGTTGCACCTCCTTTCACTGCTTGTCAAATCCTGCCCTTTGTTGATTTCTGCAAAGGACACATAGTAAGTACCGGTAAAACAAGAAGCTGCCTTATTTGGAGCCATACCTAGCTCAGTATGATCTACACACTGACTTGAATAAAATATATATGGGGGGGGCAAGTAAGCCCTCCCCCGCATAATCGATTGCATGATGGATGGTACATGGACATCATTTGAATGGCAATGCCCGTCAATTGGGGGAGGCTCAAATATTTTATTGGGGATGGTGAAGACCCCTTAGTCCTTAGGAGTTGGCTCCTAAGCCGACAGCAGCCCTCCAAGTTTTCAGACAGGAAACTTTCACAGCCCTATCTGGAGATTCTGGGGATGGGACATGAGGCCTGTTTCATAGAATCAGAGTTGGAAGAGACCCTGAGGACCATCTAGTCCAACGCATTGCAATGCAGGAATATGCAGTTGTCCCCTTACAACCTTGGCATTCTCAGAAGCATGCTCTAACCAACTGAACTATTGAGACCTTTGAATACAGAGCAGATGATCTACCATGGGACTACGACCTTTCCCCCTAAATATAGTAGTTAAGAGGATTGCCACAAAAAGTAAAAGGGAAACTAGCCCAATTCTGGTTGTCTATATTTTGAATGCTGAGGCATCCCACATTTTGGGGGCAGGGGATCACCATATGATAGAAATCTTCAGATGTTTCGTGTGCATCATGGAAACCAATTGCAAATTACTGACAAGCTGGATAAATTGACTGGGAAGATTCGATATCAGAAAGACCAAAAGTTTATCGAGGACTGTTTATCGAGATTATCTGAAAAGCATATGTGATGCACAGACAACGCTTGTTGGTTTTGAAGAGTCTCTGTGAAAAATATTGTAAAAAAGAAGAAATATTGTAAAAAAGAAAGTAGGAGAAAGGAAGAAGAATGGTTAAAGGCAATAATAAGTTCAGAAATGCGTTAACAAGAGAAATTTTAACGAAAGATTGGCAGAGAAACTGAGGGAAGTCAAAAATTGATGAATGTGAGAGTTAATATGAGTTGATTGTATAAAAATGTTTGGAAAATGAATAAAAAATTATTATATATATATATAAAACAAATTACTGCCAAGCACACTGCAAAGTTTACATCTGAAGCAGGCCCAATCTATTGCCTCTGGATACATCGTGGGACAAACACTAACTTGCCCTCTCTACTGTCCGTGGTTTCTGAGCTATTATAGGAGTGTGGTAATGACTGCTTCTCTGTGTGGCCAATAATGCACAGTGATGACATCCTTACTATGCAGATAGATAGGTTATCCAAAACAATGGGCACTTCAATTGTTGCTATTTTCAGGTGGGATTCAGTCACATATCAGCAAATTTGGGCTGCACAATTAAAACTGATTTGGTGCTCCTGCACAACAAACGTGCTTTCCCCCCAAACCAGACTTTTTATGATAGGGAAAATGATGGGAAAATGCATTACAGTGTGGGATAATGATGACTTGGTGCAACATGGTATAAAGAATGAATGGTCAATAAATATCCAGTGCCATCTAACCTCCATGCAAACTTTGCACAAACAAATTAAGATGCACGTTCACTAAATAGGTTTTCTGGAAGTGACCAATGTTAAGACTTCAGTCTTAAGCATATACAGTCGTAACTTGGTTCTCAAACGGAATCCATTATGGAAGTCCGTTCAACTTCAGAAAATGTTCAGAAACCAAGGTACAGTTTCCAGTTGGCTGCAGGAGCTTCCTGCACTCAGAAGCCGTGGAAGCCGCGTCAGATGTTCTGCTTCCAAAAAACGTTCGCAAACCAGAACACTCACTTCTGGGTTTGTGGCGTTCAGGAGCCAAAACGTTCGAGAACTAAGCTGTTTGAAAACCAATTTACTATGGGTAAAGTCTCACTGCCCTCATTAGCATTTAAAGGTAAAGGGACCCCTGACCATTAGGTTCAGTCGTGACCGACTCTGGGGTTGCGGCGCTCATCTTGCTTTATTGGCCGAGGGAGCCGGCGTACAGCTTCCGAGTCATGTGGCCAGCATGACTAAGTCGCTTCTGGCAAACCAGAGCAGCACACGGAAACGCTGTTTACCTTCCTGCTGGAGCGGTACCTATTTATCTACTTGCACTTTGATGTGCTTTCGAAACTGCTAGGTTGGTGGGAGCAGGGACCCAGCAATGGAAGCTCACCCCGTAGTGGGATTCGAACCGCCAACCTTCTGATTGGCAAGTCCTACGCTCTGTGGTTTAACCCACAGCATCACCCACGTCTCTCATTAGCACTTACTTTTTGGTGAACATGCATTGGCTTGTGCTTTGGCCTGTGACCTCCACTGTTATAAACAGTTTCTAGGAGCCTTTCTTCCATCCAGCTCCCATTGCTTTCTTAATGAAAATTACCTGCCTCTGTGGAGAGTGCCATAATCAGAGTATCCTTTCTGGGGACGGACTGGGTGTGAACTTCCTCACTTTCTAAAATATATTCACATAATTCCAAGCAAGCCTGGCATGAGAGGATGCCACTCTAGACATGCTCTAAGACATTATCTATTAGTATTACTTCAAATGTTCCAATATTTTTTGTACCTTTGGAGGTACAAAACGATTGCTTGGAGAAGTTGGATTAAAGCAGCCATGCGCCTTAGGTTCAAAGCTACATGTGCCAAGAGTTGCTGTGAGGATGAAAAAGTAATAGCAACAGTCTTCCACAACTTGCAAAACCATCATACGACATACAGTGGTACCTCGGGTTACAGACGCTTCAGGTTACAAACACTGCAGGTTACAGACTCCGCTAACCCAGAAATAGTACCTCGGGTGAAGAACTTTGCTTCAGGATGAGAACAGAAATCGTGCTCCAGTGGCACGGCAGCAGCAGGAGGCCCCATTAGCTAAAGTGGTGCTTCAGGTTAAGAACAGTTTCAGTTTAAGACGGACCTCCAGAACGAATTAAGTTCTTAACCTGAGGTACCACTGTACTTGAGGAAGGGGCAAAAACCCATCTCACTGGAGATGTATTTTCTCTTCCCCCCCCCTTATTTTTTCTTACAGGATTTCACTAGAGTAAGCCTGCAGAGAGTCATCTACTGCTCTGCCCAGACTTTTCTGAGAACTCCATGTTCAACATAGTAGAGACTAGGAAGAATAAACACACCTAAAACACAGAGAGATTACCAAGGCTACCACTAGTCACTATCTTAGATTTCAAGTTCTTATAGGCATCAGTAGAAGCAAAGCAAACGCGGGAGGGGAGAAATCCAAGGGTTTTTTATATCTAACCTCGTTTAATCCTCAACAAGATGACAAATCTCCCGAAGGGAATATTTGTCTCAACTTTTTCAGACATTGTTCTCTTCCTCCCCATTTCAGCAGCGGGCTTTGAAAAACTTGAGAGAGCGAAAACGAGGGGAGAGAGAAAGAGAGCCAGCCCTAAGGATAAATCCGAAAGGAATTCAGGAAACTTTGGAGAGGGGTGGCGGGGGGCGAATCAAACATGGCAAATTAAAATATACTCCCGCGGAAAGAAGGACGGGAACTTTACATCGTACGGAATAGGGAGAAGTTGTTGAAGCCAGGGCTTGAGAGGGGGGCATTCCTGTTTTCCCTGAAGACGTGGCCATGCTCTAAGGCATATTACTTGGGTGTCACTCCGAACATGCCCATCATCGCGCTGGCACATCGATGCGCGTCCAAGCCTCCGTCGAGGAAGCGCCCCTTCCATCGGGGAAAAGGCGGCTTCGCGACCGTCCTTCCATCTGCCCGCTTCCCTTTCTCCTTCCCCTAAACTCTCCGCGCCCCAGACCGCTTTGTTTTGCTTCCCGACGATCGCGCGTCGCCCATTCAGCGCCCCCTACGCGCCGCCTTCACGCGCGCAAGGAACGCCACCCGCGACACGCCGCGCCTCCCTCCGCGCAAAATACGCACTCTCTCCGCTGCCCTGGCTCGCCCGATCTTCGGCCCCTTCTTAGGACTCGCCAGCTGCCGGGGGACCACGAAGGCGCCCGCGCTCCGGCCGCCGCTCCGCCCGAGAAGCCGCTGCGTCGTGCGCCCTCCCCGGCGGTTCTGAAGGGCGTCCCTTCGCCGCGCTGCGCCCAGGGGGAGCCCGCTTTCCGCGCCCGCCCCCTTCGCCTGGGGCGCAGCTGAGCAAAGTTCCTATGGCAGCGTCCGCTTCGCCAGGTAACCCGGTTGCCCACAACAAAGCGCCAGGTGCTGCTCGGGGGCCGAGCGAGGCGCCCCCGATCTACCGCCTGCCTTCTTCTCAGACAAGAATGACAAGCACCACTTATGGGGGGCGGCTGGGGGCTGGGCTGGCCAAGTTCAAGCACACGCGCGACGCGGGTCTCCCACCTGTCCGGCCCCCTTGGGAGAGGCTCTCGGTTGGAGCAGGAATATTTTCCGTCGAGGGCGAGGGAGCCGGAAGGTGGAGATTGCGAAGGGATGTTTTCTTTCTTTCTTTCTTTCTTTCTTTCTTTCTTTCTTTCTTTCTTTCTTTCTTTCTTTCTTTCTTTCTTTCTTTCTTTCTGGACCCTGATCTTCCCCTAATTCTGGAACTGTCCCCTTCCCCTTGCTTCCTCGCTTTGGACTTTCCCCTCTCAAGTTGGGGTACAGGTAGGGTTGCCATACAGTGGTACCTCTGGTTAAGTACTTACGTAATTCGTTCCGGAGGTCTGTTCTTAACCTGAAACTATGCTTAACCTGAGGTACCACTTTAGCTAATGGGGTCTTCCGCTGCCGCTGCGATTTCTGTTCTCATCCTGAAGCAAAGTTCTTAACCCGAGGTACTATTTCTGGGTTAGCGGAGTCTGTAACCTGAAGCGTCTGTAACCTGAAGCCTCTGTAACCCGAGGTACCATTGTATGAAGGCAGCCCTGTTTAGGGAAGCTTTTAATGTTTAATAGGTTATTGTATTTTAGTGTTTTGTTGGAAGCCGCCCAGAGTGGCTGGGAAAACCCAGCCAGATGGGCGGGGTATAAATAATAAATTATTATTATTATTATTATTATTATTATTATTATTATTATTACTACTACTACTACTACTACTATTTTGAAGAGCAAGAAAGAGGACACATTTGCCGACTGCTACTTTTAGCTATGGATCGCTATGACGACTCTCATTTTACCTACCCATGAAAAAGAGTACGTGTCTTGGAAAATAAGGTGTGTGACAGTCACAGCTCATATGTCTCGCGCGACCCCCGAGCCAGGCTGCCCGCGGAGTTTGGGGACAGGCGGCGATGGTCGCCTCCTCCGGGGCGGGCGGAGGTCCATCTCCCGTTCTGTCCAGGAGGCGCGCGCCCAAGTTGCGCCGCCCGCGTTATTCCCAGCGCTCTTTCCGCGCTGGAGGGAACCGAGAGAGAGAGAGAGAGCGCAGCCGAGACTCCCGCCGGAGAAAACTAGCGGGAGCGCTGTGTGCCCGCAGCTTGTCGTGTGGCAGCTCGTCGGGGCGGACCAGTCGCGTTAGTGGCGAGACCCAGGGGGTCTCTGTCGCCACGGGCAAAAAATGAGTCATCCACGCAGGCAGCCGGGGAAGCGCGCGTGGTGGCCCTTCGCTGCCTTCCCGATCGTGTCTGTGTGTGTTGCTTGATGGTTGTGTGTCATTTCATGGTGTGACGGCCACAAGCCAGTCATTCCCACAGAACTTTCTCCCCTTCTTTTTCCTCGACGTCCGTTTCCCTTTACTGTATTTCTTCTTTTTTTTAATTTCTTTTTTTTTATTAAAGATTTTCTTGTTTTACAGAAGTATGTGTAATGTCTCTCGTATTTTTTCCATGTAACATTTTTACAAATCAGTTTCATTTGTTGAGACATTGGGGAGGAAGGGGGGAGGATGGGGGGGTGGGATCGGTTGGCGATGTTTCAATTTAAGGGATGGTATCCGCAATATACAAAATACTACTCCAAAATCCCACAAACCCCCTTTACTGTATTTCTGTAAGGCGTTTAGAGAGACCTCCCGCAACCGTCCCAATAAAACTCCGTCCAGAGACAAGTCGTGAAATGTAGCGATTCCTAGCTGACCCCCAACGACAGAAAAGGGAACAATAAAAGAAATTTTTTAAAAATCCATTGCAATGTCCAGATTCTCTCAGATTCTCTCAAAGGCCAGGAAAGGGTCTAGGAGCATTTGGCTCTTGGACTATGGCACAACCACTGACAATTACATAGAATTGAAAAGAGTTCCGTGTGTTAGAACAATTAAAAACCATTCCTTATAGGAAAAAAACAATTAAAAAGTATTTTCTATGTGAAAAGAATAATGGATCCAACAAAGATATTCACAGGGATAAAGTTTTCCGTTTAAAATCCTAGTCTTCATCTGAGCTTAAAGGTAAAGGGACCCCTGACCATTAGGTCCAGTCATGACCGACTCTGGGGTTCTGGCGCTCATCTCGCTTTATTGGCCGAGGGAGCAGGCGTACAGCTTCCAGGTCATGTGGTCAGCAGGACTAAGCCGCTTCTGGTGAACCAGAGCAGCACACGGAAATGCCGTTTACCTTCCCACCGGAGCAGTACCTATTTATCTACTTGCACTTTGACATGCTTTTGAACTGCTAGGTTGGCAGGAGCAGGGACAGAGCAAGGGGAGCTCACCCCATCGCGGGGATTCGAACCGGTGACCTTCTGATCAGCAAGCCCTAGGCTCTGTGGTTTAACCCACAGCGCCAAATGTGCAGCGGATTGTAGCTTTACAGCACAATCCTGTACATGCACATTACTCAGAAGTAATCCCTGTTGAGTACAATAGGTCTTATGCTCAGGTAAGCAAGTAGAGAATTGCAGCTTTAAAAGTACTGAAGTCTTTTATAAAGATGGGAGAGGCTTGCAAGCTGAATTTCCTCCAGCAACATAGCTGTTAAAGCAGAGGAGCCCGTCCTGAGAAAAACGTTGGTAATTGTGTCAGGAATATGCACACAAATGTATATACATTGTATATATAAATGTATATACATTGTATATTCACACCTGAACTCAGTCCCGGTTTTCCAGAAAAACAGTATCCATCAAGATGTCTCAAATATGGTGCTTCACTGATTACTATTCATTACATTTCATTAATAATAAAAGTCAGATGCAAGGCATATTGCAAATTATGAAAAATAAAAGAGATGTCTAAAATAAATACTGACTTTTAACAACAAAAAACTACAGTGGTACCTTGGGTTACATACGCTTCAGGTTACATACGCTTCAGGTTACAGACTCCGCTAACCCAGAAAAAGTGCTTCAGGTTGAGAACTTTGCTTCAGGATGAGAACAGAAATCGTGCTCCAGCGGCGTGGAAGCAGCAGGAGGCCCCATTAGCTAAAGTGGTGCTTCAGGTTAAGAACAGTTTCAGGTTAAGAACGGACCTCCGGAACAAATTAAGTACTTAACCCGAGGTACCACTGTACCAGAAATCATTACCAATAACATCACAGTGTAAGATCATATCAAATACCTTCTGAAAAAGGAAAGTATTCACAATATTTAGGGGGAAATGAAAGGGTTTTTAAATATCAAATATGTATTTCATTTTTGTTACATAAGTACAGAAAATGGCTACAAACTTCAAAAAGAACAGATATAACTAGAAAAATAAAAAAGAATGATGTATTTATTAAGTGATAAAGGTCCATTGTGGCCCCTCAGGACATCTGTTAATCATTTCCCTTTGGTGCATGTTCAAACAAGAAGGATGAAGGAAAAGTTGTTCTTCATTATAGCAGGGATTTGTCTGTAGCAAGACATAGAATTATAGAATTGGAAGGGACCCCAGGGTCCTCTAGTCCAACCCCCAGAAATGGAGGAATCTCAAGTAAAGCATCCAGGACAGAAAGCCACCCAACCTCTGCTTAAAAACCTTCAAGGAAGGAGAGTCTTCCATGGGAGTCCGTTTCACTCTTACTGTCAGTTTTCCCTGATTTTTAGTCAGAATGTCCTTTCTTGTAATTTGAAGCCACTGGTTCAGGTTTTACCTTCCAGAGCAGGTGAAAACAAGCTTGCCCCACCTTCCATGTGACAGCCCTTGAGATATTTGAAGATGGCTATCAGTCTCCTCTTTTGTAAGCTAAACATACCCAGCTCCTTCAACTGATGCTCATAAGGCTTGGTTTATAGACCCTTGATCATCTTGGTTGCCCCCCTCTGCACATGTTCCAGCTTGTCAATATCCTTAAATGGTGGTGCCTGGAACTGGACCTAGTATTCTTTATGTTGTCTGACCAAGGCAGAATAGTAAGGTAAAGGGACCCCTGACCATTAGGTCTAGTTGTGGCCGACTCTGGGGTTGCAGCGCTCATCTCGCTTTACTGGCCAAGGGAGCTGGCGTACAGCTTCCAGGTCATGTGGCCAGCATGACTAAGCCGCTTCTGGCGAACCAGAGGAGCGCATGGAAACGCCGTTTACCTTCCCACCAGTGCGGTACCTATTTATCTACTTGCACTTTGACGTGCTTTCGAACTGCTAGGTTGGCAGGAACAGGGACCGAGCAACGGGAGCTCACCCCGTCGCAGGGATTCGAACCGCCGACCTTCTGATTGGCGAGTCCTAGGCTCTGTGGTTTAACCCAGTGTTTCCCAACCTTTTTTGGGCAAAGGCACACTTGTTTCATGAAAAAAATCTCGAGGCACACCACCATTACAGCCCCGTGACGTCAGCGCGCAGCGTCACGCCGGGAGGGACGCACGAAAGTGTAAGTTTCAATTTTTTCCCCTCCCCCTTGCATTCCTTCTGTGCCAACCGCCAAAAAGCCAAGAAAAAAGCCAAGACTTTAGGGCAGCAGGTCGACACGGAAGAAGCTCCTACCTAAGGACAGGTGCGACGGCCGTGTCCTCTTCTGCCACACTTGGCAGCCCTGCCTCACGGTCGTGACTCCCACCCTGATTTCTCCCCGCAGGTCGAGCGGCACAGGCAGCCCAATGTGTCCAGCCCAGACACAAGCCCCGCTTCCCCACTCTAGATCCTGAATGCGACCAAGTGCTCTGGACTCCCGAGCAGGGTGGGAAAGAGGACTCGCATCTGGTAGCCTCCGGGCTCCTCGCCTGCTCGAGGGATGGCATTGCAGGCAAGCTGCCGGCCGTCGCCATCGCCGCCCCCTCATGCGAGTGGACCTGCCCGGAGTGGTGGGCCGGGGGAGGCTCGCTCTCTGTGGGGATGTGGCCCGCACGCGCGGCCCCGCTTCCTCCTGCCCAGGGCTGAGCTCCTTACCCGCAATCTCGGTCTCGTGCACGCGGATCCCACTTATTCTGAAGCTCGCACCTCTTCTGAAGGCGGGCGGGGGGCGAAAATCTTTGCTCCCCCCTGCCTGCCTTCCCGGGAGAGCGGAGAAAGGCAGCGCGTTTCTCCGCTGTCCCCGACGGCTTTTGAAGGCAGGCTTTTGAAAGCCGTCCGGGACAGCGGAGAAACCCAGCGCGCCCTTCCCGCTGCCCCCCGACTTGGCTGGAAGGCTGGCGGGGGGA